TTTTTTTTAATCTGATTGATCTTACTTTTTTTTGTTCAAAATTTATTTAATGTACTGTAAACAAACATTTCAATAAATAAACATTTACCTAAAGTTAATAAATTCATTGAAAACATTTGACCGCATTTTTTTTTAGCTCAGACAAAAGCATATAAAAAAGGTAAGTGTTAAGCCGCCTATTCACTGCATGTGACAAATGACAAGCGGCAGACCGGAAGTCATTCATTTCCAATGTAGAGTAGTCTGGGAGCTCCGTTCATCTCTGTATGCGGAAAATTCGGATCCGCTTTAAGCTGTGGTTATGTTGAAATATTTGAACTCCTGCGACTAAACCGTATGCGACCGGCCGACCGGATGTGATGTAATCCAGTGTTGGCCGTGCGCACGGGATAAAAAAAAAGGAGTTTTTTTTTTCTGTTTTTTTTTTTTTTTTTTTTTAATCAGAAAAAAAAGTATAAATTAAAAAAAAATAATAATCATTTCTATACAATAAATGAGCAATAAAAAATAGAATGTTTAATGTCTCCACATTCCAAAATTTTTAGAGGTCTATGAGTTACTAGTATTTATTCATTTATTAAACCATGGTGAAGGCATGGAGAATAAAGGCTCTTTTTGCACTTTATTTCGGACACCACACGAATCAGCTTCTCTCCCATGGTGCTTGACAACACTGAAAATTCTGTGACTGCCACAAGAGGGCGTATTCCGACAGTCAAGTCCAAATGTCGTGTGCAGTGGAAATGCAGTATTTAGGCCTGAATTAAGAACTCAGGGGCCCCTGGGCACATTGTCTTGTAAGGCCCCCTACCTGGCTGCACCCCTATAGTTGAGTTAAAAAATAATAATAATATAATAATTTTTAAATAAAATGAATCTGTAAGTTGTTGCCCACATATTTACACATATTCACATATGTATTTATAATCTTCAAAGATTTAACTTATTTTTCAAAGCATTGAAAAAAATACTAATAAAACTAATTTTTTTGTATACTTGTTCAAGTTCACTGGTACCATATATATATATATTTTTTTTTTTTTATTATTATTATTATTATTATTTAAGGGTATTTTTAATGCATAACTTTTACAAACAAATAAAGCATATTATTGGCATGGCATATAACACACAATGCTTCTCCATTCCAGTTCTATGAATCTGAGTCTTTCATAATACACACACTCATTAATGATTTACTGTCTCTCTCCTCCTCTCCCTGTATTTTCTATACACTTCTGGTGATGAAAAGTAGGCAAACAGCAAAGATCAAATTGATTATAAACCCAAAAGTATCTGAAATCACACACACTATATTCGCTCTTTACTCATGTTGTCTCTGTCAGTCAGGCATTGATAGGTAGTAAACCGTGAATAGCTTATTCCAGCTAGGTGCGCTATTTGTAGTTAGCCTAAAAAGACACTCCGAAATTGGCTTTTTTTCTCCCTTGCAGGGGCCCCAAGTGTGCACAGGCCCCATAAGGCCCATTGGTTAATCCGGCCCTGGTGATATTACATGATATTTTTATTTTTGTATTAATATCCTTACTGTTACATGCTGTTTTTTCCCCAGTATGCTCCAGACACTCTGGGGGACGACGGCTTCTTTGACCTCCTCAGCCGTTTTCAAGGGAGCCGCATGGATGACCAAAGGTGCTCATTAGAGGACGGCACTCGCCGTGTTCCTGCCCCTTCCTTCCCCTGTGAAACCCCGTCTGTAGCCTTAAGGAAACGTGAGTCCTTCTTCCTCCCTGACCTGTGCAAAACTCACCTCAGCTGCTTTCACACTGCCTAAGCTTTGCAATAGTGCTTACACTGCTAACACCAGTCAAAGACGTTTTAAAAAGCATATAGTTTGAAGGTGTTCAGTCTGAAGTAGTTGATCTAGAAATCATTTTAAAAGTTTGAATATTAAACTGTTAAACTGACAGACAGGACCTTATTTGAGGTTCAGTTTGAGAAATGTGTTTATTGAAGTTCGCAAATTCTCATATTAATGATATGGCATTCTGTATAGCTGTATAGTAAACTATGTTTGACGAAATCTTAAGTAATATATGAAGAGAGGGAGGGACATCTAGCTCCGCCAGTGAGAGTGGTTGAGCTCAAACGTATCACGTGAAAAGCAAATGAGCAGCGTCTTGAAGGGGGCGGGGCATGTCAGACACTAGAGAGCATTTGATTGGTCAGAAGATTTGATGGGAAACTGAAGATGAGGTGACGTCAATAAAATATTAGATTTATTTAGGCCAGGGGTGTCAAACTCATTTTAGCTCAAGAGCTACTTGGAAGAAAATCTACTCCCAAGCGGGCCAGACCGGTAAAAGTTTGGTGTATATAACTTAAAAACAACAACTTCAGATTGTTTTCTTTGTTTTAATATGATCAACATAAAACAAAGCTGGAGCGTGAGGACAACATGATCTCACAGAAATTCAAAAAAAAACTTTTTGATTTAGTGGCTAATTCATAATTCATACAATCTCATTCGTACAATTTAGTACGATTTGCTTGTCCACCAATGATAGTTGGGTTTAGGGGTGTGAAGAAGGAGATTAAATACACACAAATTACACAATTAGAGAATGACAATCAGTTTTAAATCACTTTCATGTTAAATTTGTTTTGGATTAACACCCCCCCCCCTCTCTTTCAGACTAAACTGCTTCAGGAATTTCAGTACACAAGAAAAAATGGCTTTTGTTTTGTTTTTGTTACATTAATATTGGATTAATATCCCTTTACAACCACATCATGTACAGTTTTGTTGATTGAGTTTGGCGGCCGTTGCGAACTAAAATGGTCCTGTGGTCCACTACAGTGGACATACTGTAAAATTACAAATACAAACAAAATGTAAAAACTCTAAGTTGTAGATATTTTTACCCAAAGGATGTAGGAAATCACAGAAAAAAAAAATAAAACTAATTCTGCACAGAACAGAACAATCACATTTACGAGCTAGAGGTGTCCCCTGGTGGTTCTGCGGTATGGGTTGCTTATAGGCAGGATCGGCTCTTTAATGTTTATTCATCTTCATAGAAAGATTAAAAATATGTGAGAAATACAGGAAAATACATTTACGGGATTATGGTGGAATAGAACTGTAAAATATGGGGGAAACCCGTGAAAAACTGGAGTGTTGACAGGTATGGTGATGAATGAAGAGACAGACATGAATCTAACATTTGATGGATGGATGGATGGATGGATGGATGGATGGGTGGGTGGATAAGTAGATGGATGTATGGATGGGTGGATAAGTGGATGGATGGATGGATGGATGGACGAAAGGATGGATGGATGGACGAAAGGATGGATTTATGGATGGATGGGTGGATAAGTGGATGGATGAATGGATGGATGGTTGGAAATGTATGAATTATACAATGAATAATATCTACTGATGACTCGATGGATGGATGGATGGATTGATGGATGGACAGGTATGAATTATACAATGAGTAATATGCAAAATAATATCTACTAATGACTCACTGGATGGATGGATTGATGGATGGATGGATGGATGGATGAACATTAACATAAGAGGCTTACAAAACTGCTCACTGTAGAAGAAAATTCCAGATGGCACTTAGAGTTTTTTGCATCTGAACTCTTCCTATAGATATTAGGCAAACTAGTCTGAACGGATTGTGTTCAAAACGGAAGGACGAGTTAGGATGAGCCGGACATGTTAATTTCAGCTATTTAAATAGCAAAACAGCATGAGCTAAAATTAACTTTATGCAAATTGGAAACACTCGCCTGTTCTAGAGTTTTGATCTCACCATCAGTGTGTGTAACTATAGCAGTAGTGTGTGCAGTAGTGAAATCATTGGATGAACTACAGTATTTAAAAACGGTTTTCACTTTGTTTAGCTACTTCCGCGTGCGAAACCGAGGCCTCAGCACAGCCAGGACATTTTCTAGACCTGCTGGCCAGTTCTCAGAGCCGCCGGCTGGACGAGCAGCGGGTCAGTGTGGACAGTCTGCCGGGTCTCCGTCTGGATCAACGCCACAGCCAGGACGTCCTCAGCAAACTCATGGCCACGGGCAATAGCAGAGAGGCAGATGAAAACTTCTTCGACATGCTGATTAAATGCCAGGTCAGTGCTGTGAATTTTTATTATTAGGTGCATGGAAGTCCAAATCGTAATCAAGGGGTGATTTCAGTTGTATTTTAGCAGTAAAGCCAGTTTTAGTAAATAATTCCAATTAAGAGCCTGTGCTGCTTTTACTAAAAAAATTAGGTCAAGAATATTGGAGTGACTCTGGAGTCAGATCTGAGTTTCAACAGTCATGTCAAAGCAGTTAATAAATCAGCATACTATCATCTCAAAAATATTGCAAGAATTAGATGCTTTGTTTCCAGTAAAGACTTTGAGAAACTTGTTCATGCTTTTATCAGCAGCAGGGTGGATTACTGTAATGGACTCCTCACTGGCCTTCCCAAAAAAACAGTTAAACAGTTGCAACTCATCCAGAACGCTGCAGCCAGAATTCTGACCAGAAGCAGGAAATCAGAGCACATCACACCTGTCCTCAGGTCTCTACACTGGCTCCCAGTTACATTCAGAATAGATTTTAAAGTATTATTACTGGTCTATAAATCACTAAATGGCCAAGGACCACAATACATTACAGATATGCTCACTGAATACAAACCCAACAGATCACTCAGATCTTTAGGATCATATAAACTAGAAATTCCAAGAGTTCAGTCAAAGCAGGGTGAATCTGCTTTCAGCCACTATGCCCCTCACTGCTAGAATCAGCTTCCAGAAATGATCAGATGTGCTCCAACATATTAGGCACGTTCAAATCAAGACTGAAAACACATCTGTTTAGCTGTGCATTTACTGAATGAGCACTGTGCTGCGTCCGACATATTGCACTATTATGTTTTTCTCTTCTTCTTCATTCTTTTATAACCTATTTTAACACATTTTAAATTGTTTTTATCTGTTTTCAATCATTTTATTGTCTGCATTTTATGTCATAAACTTGTCTTTTTTATTCCTGTTTATGTAAAGCACTTTGAATTGCCACTGTGTATGAAATGTGCTATATAAATAAACTTGCCTTGCCTTGCCTTGCCTTGCCTTGCCTTGCCTTGCCTTGCCTTGCCTAAAGAGTCATAGTTCACTGAAACTATGCAAAATCATGTTCAAAATCAAAGTTTATTATTCTGACTATGATGGCATCAAGATATTTGTTCTACAATGACTTGATTATGAATTTGCATAGGTTGAAAGTGAACTATGGTTCTTTATAAAAAGTTTTGCATGTGAAATTATCATTTACATAATACAAAGGCATAATACACACAAAAAATGTACTTTATTTACTCAACTTTCAAATTCACAGAGAAAATATGTTAACATTATATTGAGACATCTGTTTATATTTTCCAAAACAGCTAATCCACAGAGTTCTGGGATCAGAAAAAGATCAATCTGTAAACATCTTTTAGATTGTAAGGAAAATAAGCGTACGTTATGGAGGATGTGACTAGAAAAGTCGGCAGGTTTGCAGTGTAGAAATTCTGTGAATTAAACTGCACAACCCAAACGATACAATGCTAAGCAAAAGGATAAGATTCGGCTTAATATAGAGTACACTACCTGACAAAAGTCTTGTCGCCTTTCCAAGTTTTATGAACAACAAATAATAACTTGACTTCTATTTGATCATTTGGTATCAGATGTGGCTTATATGAAAGGCAAAGGCCTCTAGATTACACTTATTTTTACCACAATAAAATATGATCATGCCTTGATTTTGAATTATTTCATTAGGACAGTAAGGTCTGACTTTGTTCAGAAAAAAGTCTTGAAAAAAAAACAGAAATAATGTCCAGTATAGAATATAAAGTCATGCTGCAGTGGAAACAGAATGAATATTGTGTCTGACTCCATCATGAGCTTGGAGGACTGCATCCATACATCTCTGCAATGACTCAAATCACTGATTCGTAAAGTCATCTGGAATGGCAAAGAAAGCGTTCTTGCAGGACTCAGTCTGGTTCTCTCAAGGTTTTTTTTCTTCACTCCCATCAGGTGAAGTTTTTTTTTTCCCTCTCCGCTGTCGCCACTGCCTCGCATGGTTCAGGATTGGTAGAGCTACGCATCGATTAATTTGCTCTTCAGTGTTTGAACTCTCAGTAATGATTAAATCACACTGAACTGAGCTAAACTGAACTGAACTGAACTTAAACACTAAAACCTGAACCACACTGTTCCAGTTACTATGACCATTTATGTGAAGCTGCTTTGACACAATCTACATTGTAAAAGCGCTATACAAATAAAGCTGAATTGAATTGAATTGAACTCCCAGAATTCATCAAGACTATTTGGATTCATCTTCAATCTTACCGCTGGCATGCTCAATAATGTTCATATCTGGCGACAGGGCTGACCAATCTTGGAGCACCTTGACCTTCTTTGCTTTCAGGAGCTTTGATGTGGAGGCTGAAGTATGAGAAGGAGCGCTATCCTGCTGGAGAATTCGCCCTCTCCTGTGGTTTGTAATGTAATGGGCAGCACATATGTCTTGATACCTCAGGCTGTTGATGTTGTCATCCACTCTGCAGATCTCTCACACACCCCCATACTGAATGTTACCACAAACCATGATTTTTCCTTCACCAAACTTGACTTATTTCTGTGAGAATCTTGGGTCCATGCTGGATCCAGTAGGTTTTCTGCAGTATGTGTGATGATTGGGATGCAGTTCAACAGATGATTCATCAGAAAAATCGACCTTCTGCCACTTTTCCAAATGATCAACTAGAAGTCAAGTTATTATTTGTTGCTCTTACAACTAAGATCTATGACAAGACTTTTGTTAGATAGTTTAGAGCAAAAATGATTGATTTTATTTGACATTTTTTTATTTGACGTTTATGATAAAATCGCTTGGTTATGAATGTGACAGGTGTGAAATTGCCGCTTGTGTGACTTTGGTAAATCCAATATTGTAGTGGCACACCTTTCGTGCAAATCCTTATGTACCACCTTTTGGAGTTTAAATTCCAACAACCAGTATTTGCAAAAACGCGAGTAAGACCGAATCTTCTTTTAAAAAAGGTTTACTGAACAAATGCAAACAAAAATACGAAGTTACCATAGACTCGATCAGCTCGGTCAAAAAACTGTGTTGCTTCCAACATCCATAACTGCAATCTGACTTAAACGTATGAACTAATGACCTCATGACGTATTACTGTTGGAGGCCAAAATACCAAAGTAACTGTTTTTAAATTATATTAATTATTAAATTATGCATTTTAGATAACACAATCACAATGAATTCTTATTATATTTAAATATCAATTTTTATCATGTTTTAACCTTTAACAAAATTATTATCACAAATGAATTATGCATAACTGGCTCTTACAAATATAATTGTTTGAAAACTTTGACAGACATTTTTAAAGTGCTGTAAAGTACAAGCCTACACTAAAAAAACGTAAAAGTTTTCACCATAATAGCGAAACCCTTAGCATTTAAAAGTGTGTGTTGTGAAATTGTTTGTTTCTGACTGTTCAGGGATCCAGGCTGGATGATCAGAGATGTGCTCCTCCTCCTCCTCCAACCAGAGGTCCTACAGTCCCAGATGAAGACTTCTTCAGCCTCATCCTTCGCTCGCAGGCCAAACGCATCGATGAGCAGAGGGTCATTTTACCGACAGACTCCAGACCTGTTCACACAAACCCTGACTGACCGGCTCCTTTACCAAAACTGATGTTTGTTTGTTTTTTGGTATTATTTGAAGATATTAATCATGTACTGCACTATATTTTCTTCCTCAGTGTTTGATCTACATGAAGATGTTTACTTGAAGCTACAAATTTTATATCAAATCTTTATGCTTATAGTTTCCTTATTCGACATTTGTTTCCTAATTTTAAGCATAAATAGTAAGTGTTTAGATATTTAAACAGTTAAATGATTATGATAATCTGGTTAATATTTTCACAATTCTGAGTTTATTTTCTGCCATTTAGTTTTTTTTTCATAAAATTCAGACTTTACATAGCAATTCTAACGTAAAATAATAGCAATAAATTCAGAATTGTTTGATATTAAGATATTAATCGTGCTGCACTAAATTTTCTTGGTCAGTGTTTGATACAAATGACAAGTTTTTGTAATGATATCAAATCTTTATCAAATCTAAATTCTATCAGCAATTTTATTCCATATTTTTTCCTATTTTAGGAGGAAAAAAATAAATGATAGTTGCATTTTTGGTTTGTTTTCACATTTCTGACTTTCTTGCCATTTAGTTTTAATTTAGACCTTATATGACACAATTCTGACTTAAAATAATACCAAATAAATCAGTGTTAGATATAAAGATATTAATCGCTGCACTGCACTCAGTTTTCTCAGTGTCAGTGTTTTATCTAAATGAAGATGTTTACTTGAAGCAAAGTTTTTCTTATGATATCAAATCTTCATCAAATCAAAATCTTAACCTCTATTAGTTTCTATTAACTTCAAATTGTTTTTATTTCCCCTTTTTTCTTATTTTAGGGGGGAAAATAAATATTTTTTATTCAGACTTTATACCACAATTCTGACTTAATATCCAACAATTAAGATTTTTTTTTTGGTATTATTTTAAGATATTAATCATGCACTGCATTTTCTTGGTGAGTGTTTGATCTAAATCAGGAGTGTCCAAACTCAGTCCTGGAAGGCTGGTCTCCTGCATATTTTAGTTCCAACTCTATTATGAATTAGATTTATTTGTTAAACAGCTAATCAAGCTCTTTCTAGGTATACCAGAAATTTTCAGGTAGGTGTGTTAAAGAAAGCTGAAGCTGAACAGTGCAGGACACCGGCCCTCCAGGACTAAGTTTGGACACCCCTGATATAGACTATATACACTAAACGTCTCTTCTCTACATAGAAATTTAAAATGATTTCGATTTGCGAGATATAAATCATGAGATTTGTTAGATGTGTTAATAAATTGTGAGATGTAAAGTCGAAACCTAAGATACTATGACATGGAAGATGAAATTATAATTACTAAAAATACTATACCAGGTTGTCCAAACTCAGTCCTGGAGGGCCGGTGTCCTGCACCTTTTAGGTCCACCCTCATTTAAACACACCTGAACCAACTAATCAAGCTCTTTCTAGATATACCAGAAACTTCCAGGGAGGTGTATTTAAGGAAGCTGGAGCTCAACTATGCAGGACACCGGCCCTCCTGGACTGAGTTCAGACACCCCTGATATAGACTATATACTTAACGTCTCTTCTCTAAATAGAATTTTAAAAAATTATTTCGATTTGTGAGATATAAATGATGAAATTTGTAAAATTCATTGATGACTTTATGAGTTGTGAAATGTAAAGTCGCAACCTAAGATTCTACAACATGGAAGATGAAATTATAATTACAAAAAATACTTTACCAGGATGTCCAAACTCAGTCCTGGAGGGCCAGTGTCCTGCACCTTTTGGGTCCAACCTCAATTAAACACACCTGAACCAGCTAATCAAGCTCTTTCTAGATATACTAGAAACTTCCAGGGAGGTGTATTGAAGGAAGCTGGAGCTCTACTATGCAGGACACCGGCCCTCCAGGACTGAGTTTGGACATCCCTGATATAGACTATATACACTAAACGTCTCTTCTCTAAATAGAATTTTAAAAATGATTTTGATTTGTGAGATATCAATGATGAAATTTGTAAAATGCATTGATGAATTTATGAGCTGTGAGATGTAAAGTCGCAACCTAAGATACTACAACATGGAAGATGAAATTATAATTACAAAAAATACTTTACCAGGGTGTCCAAACTCAGTCCTGGAGGGCCAGTGTCCTGCACCTTTTGGGTCCAACCTCAATTAAAAACACCCGAACCAGCTAATCAAGCTCTTACTAGGTTTACTAGAAATTTCTAAGGAGGTGTGTTGAAGGAAGTTGGAGCTCTAATAAAAATGTGGCCCTCAATGACTGGGTTTGGACACCCCTGATATAGACTATATACACTAAACGTCTCTTCTCCAAATAGAACTTTAAAATGATTTCGATTTGCGAGATATAAATGATGAGATTTGTGAAATGTAAAGTCGAAACCTAAAATATTACAACATGGAAGATGAAAATATATTTATTAAAAATACAATACCAGGGTGTCCAAACTCAGTCCTGGAGGGCCAGTGTCCTGCACCTTTTAGGTCCACCCTCAATTAAACACACCTGAACCAGCTAATCAAGCTCTTTCTAGATATACCAGAAACTTCCAGGGAGGTGTATTGAAGGAAGCTGGAGCTAAACTATGCAGGACACCGGTCCTCCTGGACTGAGTTCAGACACCCCTGATATAGACTATATACTTAACGTCTCTTCTCTAAATAGAATTTTTTTAATGATTTCGATTTGTGAGATATAAATGATGAAATTTGTAAAATTCATTGATGACTTTATGAGTTGTGAGATGTAAAGTCGCAACCTAAGATACTACAACATGGAAGATGAAAATATAATTACAAAAAATACTTAACCAGGATGTCCAAACTCAGTCCTGGAGGGCCGGTGTCCTGCCCTTTTTAGGTCCACCCTCAATTAAACACACCTGAACCAGCTAATCAAGCTCTTTCTAGGTATACCAGAAACTTCCTGGGAGGTGTATTGAAGGAAGCTGGAGCTCTACTATGCAGGACACCGGCCCTCCAGGACTGAGTTCAGACACCCCTGCCTAAGATACTACGACATGGAAGACGAAATTATAATTAAGTAGTATACTATAGTATTTATAAATATAATTTAGTCTTCCATGTTGTAATATCTTAGGTTTTGACTTTCTCACAACTCAATTCATCAACGCATCTCACAATTTGTATCTCGCAAATCTAATTTTTTTTAAATAATGTTTGCATATACATCTCAATATTCAGGCTTTTCCCGTCTCAAAATTCCAATTTAACAACTTTAAATTTGGCTCAATTTCTTGCTATTTGGATTTTACAACTTGTTTACTCAGCATTGTGATATAAAGTAGAAGTAAAATATGACATCTGTACAGGATAAAAACACTGAGGAAGAAAAACTTTGTATTTTGCAGTCCTTACTGAAGTTTTCCTCCTGAATCGTTGATCCTGGAAGATTTTTTCTCTTCTCATTTTGGACTTGAAGATTTTGGTAGGAGAAGATAAATGAAGACTTTCAATCATTGCTTTATTCACATTTGTTTGTGCTCAATAGATGCTGATTCTGAATCAGACCCAAACCCCACAGTCTCTTCTCAGGGATTCAGAGCAATGCACTGAACGTGTGTCCCTCACCTGGATAACTGGATGGATTTAATCAGCTTTTACTGGACCCTTTTTATATACATATATATATTTTAAACACTAAACCTAGTATACTCTCTCTTGCGTTTTTTCTTTATCTCGTTGACTTGAAATGTGTTTTATATTATCTTTTAATACATCTGAAGTTTTAGAAACCCAGCTGGAATAATGTGCGTATAAAATCCTGAAATGTATTGCTAATTTTAAATGACAAGAGGGAGTAAAGCCTCCTTTTAGTAAGTCATGTTCAATTACACATCATGAAGAGACCGTTTAGTATGCTTGGAAGTGTTTTTATTGAAGCTGAGGCTACACAGGACAGAATAACCATCACCATGAAACAATGATTATGAAAACAAAGAATTAACAGAACTTGATTAATGATTATTGAGTATAACATTTGTAAATCTCTAAGGTCAAAGTTTGGAAAATCAATGGCGTTTAATCATAATGGAAGACAACTGCGCTATTAAAGCATCATCACGATTGTCTTAAATCATGATTGAATGTGCTGTGAGAAGCTTTACAGGTTGAAGTGAAACTAACAGATGCGTTTTAATTCTGCAGATCGGTTTAGGGGGAAGCGCTTTCTATTCCGTGGAGCCTTGTCGTTTGGTTAATCGATGGGGTTTTCAGTGCTGTTTGACAACCATGTTGGTGAATCCGTGCACCTGAGTGAGCTGAGGACAGTCGAATGATGCCAGCAGTTTCTGTGGGCCGTGACACATGGGGATGAATTTCTCAGTCAGGGAAACAGTGGCATGTCCGGCGATATCACTGAGAAAGAAAACAGAGAGATTATTAAATACTACTAGAAGCTGAATATTAATATTTGGCTTAGTTACAAGCTGTATCACAACACAAAGTAGTTTAAAATCCCTTTAATTTCATTAAACATTTACTTTTATATTGTATTGTATATATTTATTGCATATTAATCAATAATAGCAGAGCTTTTCATGACTATTTAATACAAAATATACTCTGTCTTACCCATAGTTGATAATTCTAGGATGTTGCAGTCCGAGTCCCACAAAGCGGAAAGCAGCGTTCCTCAGGACGCAAGACAGTGGGTTCTGGAAGGTGACTTTGACGGCCACTTCTTGGCCCACAACAGCATCACATGCAGGCTAAGAGGCATAAACAAGCCATATTTTAGCATTAAAATCCAACGGATTCAAGGATTAGATGCTAAGGGTAGCTTCAGACCAGCTGATTTGAATGTTATCACTCGATTGAATAGTCTGTGAGGTTATCAGTGGTTATCAACTGATAGATATGGGCCAGTAGGGGCCTTCTGTGCCTATTGGGTAGTCTCAGAAGGCTGTTATCATCCATTCACATGGTTAATCAGCTATAGATCACATATATTACATTATACTATTAATTAAATGTCCCATGATTGTATGTAATTAACATCTACCCTAAACCAGTCATAGTAATGTAAAAACAGATTTGGAGTCTTCTCTATTAGTACAGCTGATTAACCAGCTGATGATAACAGCCTTTCAGCCTACCAGTAGGCACTATGGACCATATCTATCAGCTGATAACACCCATTAAATTGAGCGATCACATTTGAAGCGGGTGTTCAGACTCACAGCGAGAACCAGGTCAGGAGTGCGCAGTCTGAAGTTGTACTGGGTGGCCAGAATCTGCTTGGTTTGAGCCACGTGTCCGAAGAGGTTGAGCATCAGTGGAGCGTGATCCACCAGGTGCTCCTTATACTCATCATAGCTCAGGGTCCATTCCAGAGGTTTGCCTATGGTGGAGAACAAGACAAGTTCTGTCATTAGCTTTCATTTTTACCTGTGTGGCATTGTGTAAACACAAACTTGATCTCACATTCAGAGGGCTTGAGCTCAATGCATGTCTGGTCTCTCTTCAGGTAGGTCCTTCTGACTCCGGTGTAGTACATGGCTGCGGCATGGCTGTAGAGGGTGACGCTACGAGGCTGGTTGCATTTGTTTCTTAGGTTGATGCAAACCACGGCATCCCTGCCGACACATGGTCCGTCTCCCTTCAGGTTGACTTCACAGACGACATCTTCAGCGCAGGGCAGAGGGTAATTGATTCTCCTACATCCATGGCGAAGAGCGGTTTCCAGAGCAGTGCACCTATCCTCAGAACCTGATAAGGGAGGAAGAGGTAAGACTCCAAACTATCAATTGGAGTTGGCCAAATCTGAGACATGGATGTGTTTTTACCACATGGGTGTTTGTAGAGGTTTGTAATGTCAAGACGTTGATCTGATCCGACAGCCTTGGTGCTGATGCAGTGACCGACTACATCCTTCTCAACATGGACAACACCGAATGTACCATCACACTTGCGCTGCCAGTACACCTTATCATTGTTCACCTAGAGACCCAACAGGAATCATTAGTCAAGTAAGACATTCTGTCAAACAAAAATCAAGCCTATTAACGCACTTCTGCAAAGAGGAAGGGCACGTCGTGCTTCAGGAAGGTCTGCCCGCTGCGGATTGCAGCGACTGAGGTTGGACCACAGCGGAAGAAGCCCTGGTGGGTCAGCTGAGGAGTGGAGTCAATAGCCTGCCAACCTCCAAAACCAGTGGGCAGATCTGGACGGGTCATCCAGGCCTCATTCCACACATGGTAGTTCCTACATGGAAAAGAAGATGCTGTAACTTCATGCTCCTTCAACCCTTGGTGCTAAAAGCTAAAGATGCTCACCAGATTGGATTGGCATTCATGTGATCAATCAGCTGAAACTTCTCATCCAGATAGACGTCGGATGTCAAGCACATGTCAGTGTCGTGAGCAGAGCAGAAGTTTGAGACTGGACGAGTTGGAATACCCAAACACCTCAACACTAAGAGAAAGAAAAGGAGGATATAGAATAAGACTATAAAGAAATGGTTCACTTGCATTACAATGAATGAGGAATGAGCAGTGCTCAACATGGCTGCCACATTGAAAGAAGTCCAGCATTCCAGTCAGATTAGATTTTTTACAGGTTTGATTACTTGCCATTCTTTGAGCAGTACCTGGAGAAAACTAGGAATAACATGTTTAAATGTATTTAGAACTTAAGCAAGAAAAGTAATGAGACTGATCACTTCCGATTTTGTTTTTAATACTTGATTTTGTCTTGGATGAACCTTGCAAATATGGCAGCTGAGTGAACAGACTTTCCCGGAACGGGACTTGATTGAAGCTACCACCACTTTCCTAAACCTTAAAGATCCCCTACTTGTGTTGGTGACTCCAGCAAAGGCCAAGCTCTGCCCATATCTGACAGGTGCTCCTCCACATTTGTAGTACTGTCTCAAGATGGCACTGCTTCCGCACCAGGATGTTGGAGCGATTCCATCGGTATAGCAGTTTGACCAGTTGCCCATCAACACACCACAGTCTTTTTTGGCAATGACCTATTAGAGAAGAGAGATGATTGGGAATGTTAAGTTTAGAAGGCAAGCTCCATTTTAAAGTACCACTCATTGTTATAGTTTAGTTAGGCTTTCGAAAACCAAACCAAAATGAAGACTCACCATGTCAGACACCACTCTGGAGATGTTAATGGGGTTTCCCCATCCTGAGCAAGGGGCACAACTCTTCTCCAACACATAGAAACACGCGGGCAGGATTCCCTCCTCAAACTGAAAGTCAGACAGCAGAAGTTATGAAAGACTGGAAACCTTCTGTGGTGTAGAGTTTTCCATTAAAGCATCAATTGTAGGAAGTGTTTGGCAAGTTACTTTTACAAAAAGTTGATGGTTTCACTTAGCAAAACTCTACTAGTGACATGAAGAAAAGTTTGGTTCTCACTTGACCAAAGTTCCATGATTTGCAACCAATCTGGTGCTTGGTTCCATAGTAGATTTTACCAATATCATTCAGCACGTACTCGGCTCTCTCGGTCTCCTCATGCAGGTACACACAGTCCTCTGATGAAGATAACATTGACGTTTTAATAAAGTTTCAGTAGTACTATCTTTCATTTATTTCTCGTTCTTTGAATGCGTACCTTTGCACCAGGGGTTGAACAGCATGTAAATGTCATTTTCAGGCACGTATGGCAAGCAGAATCTTCCTGCTGAACAGTGCGTCACAACGCTGAGCTGGTAACGTCCAACACAAGAGGTTGGGAGAGAGTTCACACACAGTTTGAGTCGGTTCTGGCACCTTTCGACAATCCTTGCACCCCAGCAGTCTTTCTTGAATTCATCCACAATCGGGACGATCACGTATGTGCCGTCACGGATTGATGGGATGTGGCCTGTAAAACACACAAGGACAAAACAATTCCAGTGAGGATACAAATACTGCTGCAGATCATCCGCATTTACTCTGTTGGTCATTACTAACCAAGTCTGAGCTCAAGGTGAAGTTTGTCACAGGTGGGATTGAAAGGACGGCACAGATCAATCCACATATTGAAACACTGTCCTCTACGGACGATGAGTTTCTCTTCGTGGAAGAAGTGCGTGCGGTGCTCCATACGATTAGGTCCAGTCCTGCATGACAGAAGGTCAACCTTGCTCACACGGAGAAGAGCTTCTGAGAAAGCAAAATAAGCAGGTCAGACATTCAACTATTATAAGTAAACCTAACAAGCATTGCATGAAGAACTCTTACCGTCAGTTGCACAGACTCGCTTGGTTGTGCAGTCATCAATGCACTCTCTCGTAACAACTTGCCTAGACTCATAATCCCGGTAAGAGTAGGTAGAGCATGGAGTGGCACAAGGGTTAACGCATGGGTTAACGCAGGTGTCAAGACAAGGGTTAACGCATGATTTAACATACGGGGTGGTGGTGGTGCATGGGTTAACACAACGGTTAGCATATGGGTAGCCGTAGTTGTAGCCACAGTTGTAACCATAGGGGTAGCCATAGTTGTAACCACAGTTAGAACCATAGGGGTAACCATAGGAGTAACCATAGGGGTAACCGCAAGGATCTGCGCAAGGAGTGGCACAACGGTTAATCTTGCCACAAGAACTTGCACATGGGTTATACCAAGAGTTGGCATATGGTGAATAGCATGCTCCCCTCCTGCAGTCGTCGGCCATCAGTTTGATGGGTGTGAAACGGCCACAGAGGTTGTTGTTGTA